ATCACTTCTCAAGTACTTTGTTCTTGGAATTACCCCTTCTATCTCCTCTACTAGATAACTCCTATTAGCATCCAACAGGGTATAACATCTGTTATTTTTAAAACCTTTTAATCCATATCTGCCTCCTCCTATTACTGTATTGCTTTGTTCTTTGTATAGTAAAATTCCTCAAAAAAGTGTCCATCCTGATGTCTTCTTACCCCATCCCCACTGTGTATTTTATTTTATTGCTTAAACAATGAGGAGATATTAATATACATATATATGTATATACATATAGAATATACATATATATGTGTGTAATATATGTATACATATATGTATGTATAACTTCATATGTAAAAGATAACAGAAAACCAGTTTTAATATAGCAAAAAGAATAAAACACAACAGGCACCTGTATTTCGCCACTCAGTTTAAGGTTAGAACATTTCTGGTAACTGTGACGTTTACTCTGTAACCTTCCAATCCTTTCCCTTACTCCCTAGCTTTACCGAATTATAATTAACATATAATTGTGTACGTTTAAGGTGTACAACATGATGATTTGGTATGCACATGTACTGTGAAACAATCATAATAAGGTTACTTACATCTCAGTCACCTCACATAGTTAGCTTTGTGTGAGTGTGTTGAGAAAATTTAAGGTCTTCTCTCCTGGCAACCTTCAAGCATGTGATACAGTAGTGTTAGCTTTAGTCGCCATACTGTACATTAGATCCCCAGAACTTGTTCACCTTGTAACTGGAAGTTTGTACCTTTGGCTGGCATCTCCCCATTTTCCCCACCCCCTAACAACCCTCAGTCTATTCTTGTGTCCATGAGTTCCGTTTTTATCTTTTTTTTTTTTTTTAGATTTCACATATGAGTGAGGTTATACCTTCTCTTTGAATTAACTTCACTCACTCAGGGTTCATCCCTGTTGTTGAAAATGGCAGGATTTCCTCCTTTTTTATGGCTGAGCAATATTCATACATATATATATATGTGTGTAATTTCATATGTAAAAGATAACAGAAACCCAGTTTTAATATGTAAGAACTTAAAAATATATCCAAGCCATTTTAAAAATATTTATGCAAATATGTTTAACATGAAAATTAAGAAATTTAGGAAGATAAAATTATTGTGTGAAGATTGATGGTAAGCCTTAAAGACAGTTAAATATAGAGGTAAATGAATGTAATTGTGGATATGAAACCAGATTAAGAATAGTTACTTAATATAATTAATTAAATCTAATCCTTAAGATTATAATAATAATGACAGTAAGTAAGAAGGAGTGTGGTGTGGAGGCCGAAACCGGTTTGGCTCAGTGGATAGAGCGTCGGCCTGCGGACTGAAAGGTCCCAGGTTCGATTCCGGTCAAGGGCATGTACCTGGGTTGCGGGCACATCCCCAGTGGGAGGTGTGCAGGAGGCAGCTGATCGATGTTTCTCTCTCATCGATGTTTCTAACTATCTATCTCTCTCCCTTCCTCTCTGTAAAAAATCAATAAAATATATTTAAAAAAAAAAGGAGTGTGGAGGATTACATATTACAAAGAGAAAAATAAAAGATATAAGTCTTGGATTTGACAGTTAAGCAAAATATAGTTTAAGAATGTTAAAAATACCTATAAGACTCCATAGGCAGCAAAATTGCAGAAATATGTCATAGGAATATCTTTACCAACACAGCTCCTAGGGCAATGGAGACTAAGGAGAAAATAAACAAATGGGACTACATCAAAATAAAAAGCTTCTGCACATCAAAAGAAACCATAAACAAAACAAGAAAGCCCACTGCATGGGAGAACATATTTGCCAATGTTATCTCTTATAAGGGTTTAATCTCCAACATTTACAGGGAACTCATACAACTTAACAAAAGGAAGATAAACAATTCAATCAAAAAATGGGCAAAGGACCTAAATAGACACTTTTCAAAAGAGGACATACAGAAAGCCAAGAGACATATGAAAACATGCTCAAAGTCACTAATCATCCGAGAGATGAAAATCAAAACAACAATGAGGTACCATCTCACACATGTCAGAATGGCTATCAACAAATCAACAAATGACAAGAGCTGGCGAGGAGGTGGAGAAAAAGGAACACTTGTGCACTGCTGGTGGGAATGCAGACTGGTGCAGCCACTGTGGAGAACAGTATGGAGTTTCCTCAAAAAGTTAAAAATGGAACTCCCTTTTGACCCAGTAATCCCACTTCTAGGACTATATCCCAAGAAACCAGAAACACCAATCAGAAAGGATATATGCATCCCTACGTTCATAGCAGCACAATTTACAATAGCTAAGATTTGGAAACAGCCTAAGTGCCCATCAGCAGATGAATGGATTAAAAAACTGTGGTATATCTACACAATGGAATACTATGCTGCTGTAAAAAAGAAGGAACTTTTTACTATTTGCAACAGCATGGATGGAACTGGAGAGCATTATGCTAAGCGAAATAAGCCAGTCAGAGAAAGATAAATATCACATGATCTCACTCATATGTGGGATATAATGATCAACATAAACTGATGAACAAAAACAGATCCAGAGATAAATGGCAGGGGAAGTCCGGGGGGAAGAGGGGGTTAGAGATCAACCAAAGGACTTGTACGCATACATATTAGCATAACCAATGGACACAGACACTGGGGCGGTGGGGGGGGGGAGGTCAAACGAGAAAAAAGGAGACATATGTAAAACTTTAGACAATTAAAAATGTTAAAAATAACCACTTATGGAATTAAAACATCATCTTCCATATCACTGGATAAAAATAAAAAAACACACAAGATATTATCCATAGGAATGAAAGAATACAAATTACTAAAAGGTAGCAAATCCTCTGAAAACATAAGATAATGATATAAGATCACACAGATCAGAGATTTCAATAAATGTGTTTTAATCCTTGTTGAAGGACAAATAATCTCCTTCATTAGCTAAAAGATAAGAATTTTATCTTATCATGCTACCTGTTATGCTAGTGCACAATTCTAATTTATTTTCTTCATGGTACTTATCACTAGTAGAATTACTGCATTTGTTTATTGTCTTATTCATACCTGTAATATCGGAGCTCAATAAATATGTGTCATATCAATCAGTGAAATATGAATAAATAAATGAATACTACAAATCTCAAAGACAGATTAAATATAAAAGTAAGCAAGAAGAAAGCAGAGATTACAATAAAAATATTATTTGAAAATAACAGCAAAATACTTTTAAAATATAGAGAAGATATTTTTGTTGTTGATAAGACAAAATCCATAATGAAATTTAAAAGTCACAAAACTGCCCTAACCGGTTTGGCTCAGTGGATAGAGCGTTGGCCTGCGGACCAAGGGGTCCCAGGTTCGATTCCGGTCAAGGGCATGTACCTTGGTTGCGGGCATATACCCAGTAGGGAGTGTGCAGGAGGCAGCTGATCGATGTTTCTCTCTCATCAATGTTTCTAACTCTCTATCTCTCTCCCTTCCTCTCTGTAAAAAATCAATAAAATATATTTTTTTAAAAAGAAATACAGGCAGAAATTACAGAATTACAATGAAGATGAGTGACTAATATACTTCTAATAATTTACTCTCTTGAATGTATATGTATGTATTTTATATGCATAAAAATAACTTTGTACCCAACGAAGTATTTTCTATGTAGGCATATATTGTTTAGTCAGAAAATAATCATTACTAAAAAGTACTTACTAGATTCCATTGGGAAAAAACCTTTGACAAGCTTTTTTGCTTAAAAGCTACTAGAAAACTAATTCGAGGAACTGAAATAAAAAATTGGAATAGATATAAATTTAGATGTAAAAAAATGTTAAGTTTAAGTATCTGGAAAACATTACTAAGTCTGGTCTAACATTTTTTGTGAATGTCAGAGTTATCTAATACCTTCTAAGTAATACAACCTCAAACAGGCAAATTACAGGAAGATCTCCTAAGCCTGAATGAGTGGCCAGAAAAACGGAAGAATGCTTTCAGAAGGCACCAGCACATTACAGTTCTATAGCCACATGTTAAATAATGGTAACTTTCCTGCACAAAACTGCTAAATGTGATTTCAGAATGCCGTGTGCATTGCCTATATGCTATGCCTTGAGAAACAAAGGAGAAAGAATGAAGGTAATGTTTACTGAGCAAATAGGTATTGTTCGGATATGTAATTGCATTTGATAATCAGTGCCTAAAAGTATGGCTGTGTTCATTCATTCATTTAACAGATACTTCCTGAGCACTTCCACTATTGCCAGGCATTGCTGTAAGCACTTGGAAGGACATACAACAAAATTGGGTGAAATATATTGTATAGCAGTAGATGGTGATAGGCACTATGAAGAAATAAGCAGAAAGTAGAGATGGAGACACAGTCTTAAATAAAGTTAGTCAGGAGAGGCTTTCCTGAGAAGATGGTCACCTGTAGGAGATGAGGGGAGGGTGTTCCCGGCCAGGACAACCAATACAAAGGCTCTGAGGCAGGAAGCAGTGAGGGTGGAACAGTGAACAGAAATGCGAGTATGACAGACAAGGCTATGGGGAGACCAGACTGAGTAGGGCCTTGAGGTTTGACTTGAACTTGAAAGTGATCTGCCTTGTGTTTGAAAAACAATTTCTGTGTCCTTTGCATAGTTGAGAATAGACTACTGTGAACGAAAAGGGGGCTCTATGGAAGCTATCCTCACATGGTGGGTAGCCATGCCCCAGACAAGCCCTGTCCATTGTTTCTGTGCACCTAGTTTCATACACCTTTGGAATGCTTCTTTTCAGACCCCTCAAGCAAAACCACCCTCTGGAGAGCACATACTGTTGTTAACTATCCTGTAATACAAACCCTGCCTTTGTTTCTTCTGCCTTCCTTACAACTCCCTCCTCAATTCCAAATGCATTAAGGATGCTGCAGACTGCTATTCTAGGAAGCATTTTTCTCAGTCTGTTGAGATCTTGCTTCCAGGTGTACCCTTTGTTTGGCTCTAATACATTTTTATAAAATTTCTCTACAGGTTTGGACACTGTTACATTGACACTGCTGAGCAGCAACAATGGAGGAGAGAGTTAGGAAGCTACTACAGGAATCCAAGAACGAGAAATGGTTGCTTAGACCTGGATGACAGTGAAAGAGGCAAGAAGTGATGGATTCTGGATGTATCTGAAGGTATAGAATTTGCTGATCAATTGGATGTAGGTATGAGAGACAAGAGGAGCCAGCATAACTCCAAAGATTCGGCATGAACAACTGGATATATTTTCAATATTTGCATTTTACAGGAAAGATAACTAGGTATTATTCCAAAGCGTATGGTCTTCCCACAATGTTTCATTACTTGAGGAAAAACGCAACTGAAATTATGTGCATAAAGCATTACCACACAGATTACAGACTTTTCATTTTACAAATGAAGGTTTAATAATTGGTAATATCACCCTGACTCATGGGATTTATTGTTCAACAATAAATTATTGACACATATGGTACAGGCTGGAAAGAGGATAGGAAATTTACAGATGACAGAATCATATCAGGTTATCTAGGGACACTTGGGTAGAGCTCCACATTCTTGAGGCTGATGGCATGATAAATTATCCATAGAATCTCCTTGGAAACCAATGTTTGACAGAAGGAGATGGAGAACAGACTTTCCTATGATGAGATAGGCAAACACCGTTTTGCTCTGGCTTCTTCATTTCAACTGTTTCAAATAGAAACTTGAAAAAGTAATTACAAAGATACTTCTAAGAGCTGTGTTTTGGACAGTCAGCATATATGTATACCTTTCCAATTAGTTTTCCATACTGTAAAGATTAACAGGCTCCAAGAAAGGTATTTAATTCCTTCAAGCTTTCTCTTTATATTGTTTCATATGTCCCTGCAATGTAAGTTGATGTTGTTGAGAGAAGATGTAATTCTTTTCCACTCCTCTTATTGGAAACATTACATTGGACTTACAGAATCAATCTATCTGGTGTTCTTTGTCTAGACCAGCGGTTCTCAACCTGTGGGTCGCGACCCCTTTGGCGGTCAAACGACCCTTTCACAGGGGTCGACTAAGACCATCCTGCATATCAGATATTTACATTACGATTCATAACAGTAGCAACATTACAGTTATGAAGTAGCAACAAAAATAATTTTATGGTTGGGTCACAACATGAGGAACTGTATTTAAAGGGCCAGAAGGTTGAGAACCACTGGTCTAGGCACATGAACATGCCATGAGATGGTAATTCCCAACAGTTAGTTCTCTTACACCTGCCCCCTCCCTGGACATCCCTATTTCAGTAAAAAGTACATCTCTCTATCTTCCCAGTCACCTTGACCCAGCTCCTTCCTGTCCTTCACCTCTATATCAGGACAGTGCCAATATCAAAAATACTAACTCCGCAGGATGCCTCATGTGTATAAGAACTCTCACTCCCAATGCTAACAGGCCAGAAACAGCTCTGGTCTGTCCCCACTGCACTTGATTGCCATGCTGGGGCCGGCTTCATTTTAAAGCCTGGCTCCCGTCATATCATGCTTTCAAAACCCTGTACTGGCTTCATGTTGCACTCTTCCACCTGCGTGTCAGAGCCCTCCACAGTGTGGCTCCAAGCTGCCTTTCCAGTCTTATCTCCTGGCACTTCCTTTTCAAGGTCACTCCAACTCTAGCAAAACCACTCTTCCCAGAACCTGCCTCTGTTTCAGAAGCTCAGGCCTTGACTCACACAGAAACGTTCCCTCTTGTCTATCAAAAGTTGACCTATCCTTCTGGTCCTGTCTCCAGTGGGGCTCATAAGAAGCTCCAGCTGTTGCCCCTGATCCTGTTATCCTCACCCAGTGTGCACAGTACTGAATGCAGCCTGCAGACCTGAGCCCCTTTCTTATCTTCAACACGTATTCCAAGCTCCTAGAAGGTGACAAGTGTGCTTTGCTCATCTCGCAGTCGCCCATGGTGGAGGGATGGTGCCTCACACAAAGTCAAGTTCAGGGATTATCAGTGCCCCGGAGTGTTAAAGAGTGGAGATGTCTTAAACCAGGCTGTTTTTAAACTTGACCATTAAAAGCCATGAACATTTCCCTTTCACTTCATAACAGGATATCAGTGGAGACAAACGGATATAACCGTATCTTCCCGGCCTCTTCAGTGTTCTTCCTACTCTTCTGTATAAATAGAGTTTACATTATGGTGATTAAAAGTCCCCTGTAAAATGGTGTCATGGGGCCATATCTGGGAAGGGAGGATCAGTGCTAATCTGTTCCTTACTCACTATTGACTAAGGGGAACATGAGATGATATGTTTGGATCAGAGACAGAAAGGAAATGGAGTTTTCAAGGGAGAAGAAAAAAATTACAAAAGAAAAACCTGTTTCACAAAATGCAGTCTGTGGAAAATCTTTCAGCTGAATGTCAAGATTAAGAAAAATCAATAAAACCTTTGAAACCAGAACTATGTGAAAGGCTTTTTTAGGCTTGATGGCAAAAATACAAAGCTATGGCTTCAAAAAAGTAAAATCTTCCAGTAACTGCAAAAGCAGTTCTTCAATATTCAGGAGACTCCATGGCCCCCAAACATGTTCAGCACAAATTGCTTATTACAGAGACAGGGCCAGTCCAGATTCAAAGGGCCAGCGTTTTCAAAGGGACTTTCACCAAGGCTGTAATTAGTTGTTCTGGCAAAACTGCACACACATCTAATTGCACATACAATTGGCTAATTGTATCTTCAAAATAAAGGGTAAAGGGTTAATTGTATCCACATCTGGCCACAAAGAAAGAGACTGTCCTTTGAAAATATGACACTCCACTTAGATGACAATTTGCATTAAACAACCATCCCTATTACTACTAATAATTATAATAATACCACATGCTTACAAATTAATAAATACCTTTCATCGTGATCCTAAAAACACTTCACAAACATTAATTAATCTCACAATACTCCTACACGGTATGAAAAGCGATTATCCCAACGGTGTCAATGAGGAAATACAGGCAAGTTAGGTAACTGTGGAAAGCCACTGAGGGAACTGAAGCTCCCAGCCCCCAGCTCTGTACACTGGCCCCGGTCACCAGGGAGGTTCAGTGGGGAGTCTGGTTCACGGAATCAGCGAAAATGAGCCTAAAACCAATGCAAAACTCAGTCATCAAAATTTCCAAAGAGTCAAAACTGGCCTGGGATTCAGAGACTACCTTGACTTCTTTCATTCAAAGAAACATACAGTGCATCAAGGATGGCGCTAACAAGTAGAACATTTTGGTCCTTGGTTTAATTTTATGATCAAATATTTCAGATCATTTTAAAAAAGTACAGGTCACTACAACCCTAGCAAAACCAACCACTCTTCCCAGAACCTGCCTCCATTTCAACAGCTCAGGCCTTGACTTACACAAAATGCATCCCCAATGATTGGTTCTTTCAAAAATATGTAAGAAGAAGAAGTCTCTGTAAGAGATGGGTGCTTGGGATGTTCTGGCTACAGCAGCTCTGAGAAGAGGACATAGGGCACGAGGTAAGGGACTGAAATGTAGTAAAAGTAATGTTACCTCAATTCAAATCGCCAGTCAGGAGCATCCAATTTATACCAGCCCAGAATAGCTAACTTAACACAAATAAATTCCTTATAAATACACACGTACTATGTCATTAGTACTCGTGTAACCTTAATACCTTCTTTAAGAATGAAATATGAGGGTTCATTTCTAACAACAAAAAAATACACGTTTCAAAGACTGATTTATTTATTTTTAATAATTAAAGCAAATGTTCTCGTATCCACACCAGAAATGTTTGGATGATTTTCTTATTTATCAGAACTGATGATAAATTCTCTATGCAGATATTTATAAAGATGTGGAGAGATGAAAATGCTCCCTCGATTCAATTCCCTTTTCCATGAAGACACATGCTGGAACACCAAGGTGAGCAAGACAGTGCCTGCTTTCACAGACGCAGGTCTATGCATTTCCTCATCATCACCCAAACCCTACCAAAGCTCTTCCTACCAGGGTTTTGAAGCAATATCCAATAGAAGAATAGAGAAAGTCAGGGACAAGGAAAACAGAAACCAAATATGCTGGAACTAAGAATCAGTATGACTGTTTCTACACTTCAAAGTTGGCTCAAAGTTACTGATCACCCAGAGCAATAAAAGACAGACACACATCTTACAAAAGAAAGAAAGTGGGGAAAGAGAGAGAATGAGATACTGGAATATAGAACTAAGTTTTTAAGAATGCCTACTAGAGGTAAAAATCAATATAGTGTTGGAGGGCCTAAAACGGAGAACTGACTTCCGCCCCAGTCGGGGGAGGTGGGGGAAAAGTCACTTCCGGGCTGGGCTTGAAGGTCAGGGCTGAGCCCCATCCTGGCTGCTGCAGAAAGGGCATTCCACACTCAATACAGGAGGCAGGTTTGGGAAGTGGAGGTAGATTCGAGCCCCAAGTACAAGCTGGAATGCAGTCCTAGACGGGCCTGGCAAGAACTCCAGCCCCACTGGCAAATGCCATGCTAAAGTACAGGTAACACAAGATGTTTGAGGGGGGAGGGGAAAGTGGGAATACAACTTTTTCTTCCTTTTTTCTTCTTCTAAGTATAAACCCTTGACACCATGTAAAGAATGGACCAGGAAGGCAAAAGTCAGGAGGAAGAAAGATCTCCGGAAGCTCTGTCATAAATCAGATGAGGGATGATAAGGGCTCATCGCTGGCCCTGCCATAGCAGAGGTAAAGGAAAGGACAAACAAGAGATTCTGACAGGACTCGGTGAATAATTAAATGTCAGGAAAAGATGAGTCAAGCATGACTGGAGCCCCTAAATCTACCTGACCGTGGATACCCAGAGGGTGGATATGGCATGTTTTTCTACCGTTTTATTAGGGCCAATGTCAATAAAATTAACATATACCTGTGTGTCGTACTATTTTCCACCAGTGAAAAGTATGCAATATTGTTCTTAAAAATCTTTAAAATAAAAATGGAATGTGCTGTCAACCATGGTATGAGACTGGTTATGTTTCTAGCTCAGGTTTCAGCATTTTCCTTTTCTCCTTATTTACATTTATAAAAAAGAAAGGGAGCTTTAATTCTGTTTCCAGAGATGGATATGATTTGCACTCTCTAAGTGTCTTCGCATCCTCCTCCCACATGGCCGGGGATAATGCAAAACTATGATCAAAAGTAAATGCTTAAAAACTACTTGCTGAATGAACACATTTAAAAATTAAAGTCAAATAGACATCGCCTGTTCCCCAAAGCTGTGGACAGTGATTGCTGTTAGTATCTGACTGTTAAACACAGGTGTGTAGGGAATTTCTGCTGTTCATTAAATGACAATTTTAAAATGTCATCAGGAAAACTGTATATCCCAAAAAATTTACTCTTATCACCCAGTGTGTTGCTATGAAAAACTGCTTGCTGCTCCACCAAAGCCAAGTCCTCATTAGTGCTGTTGCTAAAAATTGCTATAGATAGAACAGGAAAATGTTTGGGAGACACTGCCATGCTCTTAGGTCTCCGTAGAAAGTGGCATGACTGTATGGTCAATATAATACAATTAGAATGTTACCCTTTACAATAGTGGTCCACCTCTGTGTTTTGAAGGAAAACCACTGATTTTTATCTATCCTAATTAAAAATATTGTCAGTGACCTCCTAACACATGCAAAATAGAGGTCAAGCTTTTAGATTTGATATTCAGCTCCCAGATGATCCGGACCAATTGACTTCTAGTCACAATTCCCTCTAGGCTGGTCGTGATGCCTGCAGAGTGAGGGTCGGTACCACGGATTGTGCAAGGGCGGAGCAGGAGGAGGAGGAGCCCTGGGAGGCGAGGGTTCAGGGAGGCTTCATGGGCTAGAAGGAAGGCAGGGTGGAGGGCAAGACAGGTCAGGGGCTATATCCTTTCCTTCCTAGATCAAAGCCTTAGTGGCAAGCCCTCAGCCTTGCACGTGTGAGCCTGTGTGTGTACACACAGAGGTCAGCGGGAGGGGTCCCTGGGGGTAGACCTAACTGCTGTGAGCTCAGAACCAGGGGCTCTGGGAAGCCCTAGGCAGAGCTGTGGCCCCGATTCTGACTCAGTGACTTGGCAGTTAAGTGTCTGATTGAGTCCAGTACATCTGAAGTCAGGTTTGAGCCACATGTTAGCTAAGTGACCTGGAGAAGTCATTTCATGTTTCTGAGTGGGAAAAGCTGAATGATATATGTGCATACACTGCACTTAGCACAGTACCTAAGCATAGGAGAAGAGAAATAAATAATATTTGTTATTACTTCATGTCAGATCCAGAACACCAGAGATCTGGGAACCAGGCTTCTAACCTCATTTATCCTTAATTAACCAACCAGCAACTATCAAAAACCCCTTTGGTTCCTAAAACACTGGGATGGAAACTCAAAGGAAGAATTCAAGTGAAAATATTATGAACTTGATAACAGGTTTTTATAGGTTTTCCCCCGAAAAAAAGATGGCAGTGGTAAATGGCAAAGGAACTCTTGTTCTACCACTTAACAAATGTTTTAATTGATTTGAGAGAGAGAAGGGAGAGGGGGAGAGAGAAACATCCATGTGAGAGCAAAGCATCGACCTGAGTTTTCATGTGTCTTTTTGTCCTGAACTACTAGACTGATGACACACTTGAGGGTAAAAAGAATTCATTCATCTCATTGGCACTGAGTACATCATTATGGAAACAGTGGGAATGCTATAAATATTTTCTGAATAGTCTTATAAGACCTTATATCTCATTAAAATAATTGCATCTTAAAGGAAATCCTATTGTAATGTTAACAAATGTAAATTAACTTTTAGTTCTAAATATTTTTTTATTTGAATTATAAGTGCAAAAAGAGAACAATTATTTGCCCTAACTTGAATTGTTGTAAGATTACACATTGCACATCACTGGGCTTTTCCCTTGTCCCTTAGTTATAGCTGTGTGTGTGGCCATGAGCCTCCCTGAGAGCATTTCCCAGCCATCCTTGTTGCTAGAGGTAGCCGATGAGATGTAAGTGAAAGCTGGATAGAGCATTTAGAAAAGTTATTTAAAGTCTTCTCCTGAGGTTGGAGATACAGCAGCCATGTTGTAACCCACACAATGGAATGTGGCTGGGCTGTGGACAGGAGGGAGACCTTGCCTTTGATGGCAGCATGGATGGACCTGGAGAGGATTGTGCTGGATGGGGTGGACCAGTCGGGGGGAGAGGTGCCATGTGATTTTGCTTATGTGTAAAGTCTAATGAATGGAATAAACTAACAAACAAAATAGAAACAGACTCACAGTTGTCAGAAGGGAGGGGTAAGGAGAGCTGGGTGAAAAAGGTGAAGGGATTAAACAAAACAAAGCAAAATGACATACAACAGTATGGTGATTACCAGTATGGTGAATTCGTGCACCAGTGGGGTCCCTTGGCCTGGCCTGTGGGATCAGGCAAAACTGGCTTTCCAGCATCCCCTGTGGGGTCCCAGATTGGGAGAGGGCACAGGCCAGGCTGAGGGACCCCACTGGTGCATGGTTGGGGCTGGGAGGGAAGTGGGAGATTGGCCAGCCGTGAGGGACCACAGGAGGGTTCCAGGGCATGTCCAGCCCATCTCACTCAGTCCCCATCAGCTGGACCCCAGCAGCAAGCTAACCTATCGGTCGCAGTGTCTGCCCCCTGGTGGTCAGTGCACATCATAGACTGGTTGACCGGTCGACTGTCTGCCCCTGGTGGTCAGTGCACGTCATAGTGAGCAGTTGAGTGGCCTTACCATACCATTAGCATATTACACTTTGATTGGTTGAAGAGAAGACCGGATGACCAGGCACTTAGCATATTAGGCTTTTATTATATAGGATGTAACCCCAATAAATTCACTAAAAAACAACAATACATATTCCCTTAAGAGCCTCTATCTCCTGACATGCAGCTACAGGGCCCAAAGATAGCATCACAGGCAACTGCTGGGCCAGCCAATATCACAACAGGCAGCGACCTGGCCGAGAGAGGGAAGGGAAATGACAATCTTTCACCTGGAGAGCAGTGTTCATTAGGGAAGTCACTTTCAGCTACCTGCCCCCCACAATTACAAAGCACACAGGAAGTGCACCTTCTCTCTGACTTCCCTTTTTTAAAGATCTTTAATCTGTAATTATGCTGCTAGAGATTTCATACTAAATGAACCAAAAGTAGAGGTGGGTGAGAAACAGAATCCCAACTCTGCCACAGGTGTCCTCGTAGCTTCCAGAATCAGTATTGCTGCTTTATGAGAGAGCATTTTCTTTTTTTTAAAAAAAGAAGTAGGTGAGATGAGAATAGTGTGCCTCTTCCCATCTCCCCCGAAATATGGGGGTAAATGAGGACACATACTTGAAGCACTTGAGCTTCAAGTAATTGCACCTGTGTTACAATATCTCTGATGCTGGGCTGGGGTAGGATGACCAGCAAACAGCAAGTGCAGGAGGGCCAAGAATAGAATTTACCTGACTCGGGAGTTCTTTAAGCTCATAAGAGAGCCGACTTATGGTCATGTTTGCCAGATCCAATATAGATTATTTTTAAGTCTAAATATGACCCAGATATTACATGGGACAAACTTACACTAAAAAATTATCTGCTGTTTATTTGAAGTTCAATTTTAACTGGGCATCCAGTATTTTTTTTTTTTTTGCTAAATCTGGCAGACCTAGTTATAGTGGTACCCCTAAGGGGAAAAAGTTGGCTTAATTAATCACCTATTTAACCTATTTATGGAATTTTGATTTCTTGTATGTAATAGGAAATGTTTTAGCTACAAATGAAGGAATTATGAAGCATAACAGTATGAAAATGTGAGCATATGTGACCAGTAAATTATAAAAACATTCCCAACAATATTAGGAATCTCATCTTTTAAAAACTGTCCCCTGATTATTTTTATTTTTGTGTTAATCATCACCCGTGGATATTTTTCCATTGATTTGTATTTTATTTTGTTTTATTTTTAGAGAGAGTGGAAGGAGGGGGAGAGAAAGAGAAAGACACATCGACTGGTTGCCTCCCACACTGGAGCCAGGGAAAAAGCCTGAAACTGAGATACATGCCTTGACCGGAATCAAACCCAAGACCCTTCAGTCCCAAGGCTGATGCTATATCCACTGAGCCAAACAGGCGAGGGCTAAACTGTGCCCTGTTTAAAACAGGGGTGAGGTAGCACTCCTAATTAATAAGACAGGATATTATTACTACTATCAGAAAGAGTAAAAATGTTCATTGACAATTAAGTACTATAAACTCAAAGACAAGTATTTCTAAAAAACACATAGCCCACAAGAATGTACAGTGGGGCCTTGACTTACGAGTGTCCCGACTAACGAGTTTTTCGAGATACTAGCCGTCTCTCGGCCGATTTTTTGCTTTGAGTTGCGAGCTAAAATTCGGGTTACGAGCCAGCTTCAGATACCCCACCGCTAGTTGGCGCAGCGAACGTCACAGTGAACACAACATCAGTGTCTCACTCGTTCACTTTTTGATTTGACATACGAGTAATTTGAGTTACAAGCTCCATCATGGAACGAATTAAACTCGTAAGTCAAGGCCCCACTGTAGAGGCAAAACAAGCCAACCAACAAAAACATAAAACAACACGACCTTTTCTAAAGGGATAGCGTTTAGAAAAATAAAATGTTAAAGCATAGTTTCATGATAAATGACAGAGAAGACAAGCTCTCCCGCCCCAAAAATTTTTTTCATGTTCATGGAGTTCTTACTAAAATGTCCTCAATGAACTGCCGGAAACAAGAGGGCCATGTTTGGAATCCAGGGCAAAGGTGAAAAGACCACTGGCCAAACCTGCAGCATTTACACACACTACGGCATTGCACCTATTTTGTATGCACTTTCAGCTCACTTTTATTACTTCCAGACCTCTCTCCTCATCAAGGCGCAGATATAAACAGGGAGCTATTTCTAGGGTAGATAGCAAATGCCCTGTCTGCTGGCGAGATCCAGACCTCCACCTTGCATGCATATCAGCTGGAGAAAAGAGAGCCCTTATTCATCAAATTTAAAAGCGCTCTCATTTCATGCTAATTGTATGGTCCTTTGCATGATATACAAAAGATTGCCTAAGATGAAAGGCTTTAAAAAGAAAACTACCAGCCTGGGAGGGTTTTTTATTTTGGGGGTTTTTTTTTGGAACAAGATTAACTTATCACTTATTCAGAGAAAGTAAATGACTAATTCAAGTATTACATTTATCTTCACAAAATGACCTTTACAGGTTTTATTATTATCTAAGTCTATTCAACTGCCGCTCTCTGCCTAACATAATGTGACTTCCTTCTACTTATTTCAGTGCTTTCAGACCCTGTAGGTTGGTGTCAAACAGTTCAAACATTAAAGAATTTAAAATAAAGTACACATATATTGTATATGATTTATTTTCACACAAAAAATACTTAAACCTCCCTGGGAAAGAGAGGCTGATTATGAATAAATACTTGCTTCCTAGCTCCAACATGTAGATTCTGATTCGGCAGGTTTTGTATAAAAGAACAAAATCAAAAACTCATTTTTGGTTATGAATATTATCTGTAATATAGTGACAAAATATTATTCAAGGGTTGTCAATAAGAAAGGCCATGATAATTTATAACACACCATAATTTATGGTAGATGGAAACATGAATTGAGTCTTTGAAAACCTGAATTATTTAGATTTATGCCACTATAAGTATCAACTGATTGTTAACCATGTAAGAGCCACCAGGGAAGAGGTGGAAATGAGAGAAGCAGTAGGTGCGGCTCCATCACTTGGGCGGCACAAGCACAAAGCAGCATTTTCCCTCCCAGGATTATCAGCCACTGAATCAGGGTTGGCGAATCCAAAGAACAGCCACTCCGCCTGTAGCCCTTGAAGGGAGCCGCGGAACTGGGCTTCCCAGACCTCCAAAAGGACTGACTGTTCAAATATACTGTTAAAAACTAAAGTTTGCATACTGAGGTGCCTGTTTTTTAACCTATTAGATCGGCATTGTCCAATAAAAATATAAGGTGAACCACACATGTGATTTTAAATTTTCTGGTAGCTATCGTAAGAAAGTGAAATTAATTTTATATTCTTTTTATTAATGTAGTCTATCCAGAATATTTTCATGGTGACATGTAACCAACAAAAAGTATTGAGATATTTCATAATTTTTGTAAATACCAAGTCTTTGAAACCCAGTGTGTATATTTACAGCACATCTGAATTCAGACGGGTGACATATCAAGTGTTCAAGAGGTACATGTTAGACAGTACAATTAGAATTTCACAAACTAAAAACTCCTTGTTCTTAATTACTACCTAACATTTTCCTGCGAGACAAATCCCAAGCCACTATGGAGGTTACTTGTTCCTTGTGTTAATGAACACAGTAAAAACACAAGAAGAGCTATACCACTGAAAACAGGGCTTGGATCCTAAGAAGGTCATGCTTAACTTTTATTAATAACAAGTATTTACATACTAAACTACTTGTCTTCCCTGGGCACACTGCTGATCCTATCTCAAATTTCAGGAGTCTTAGTTTTCCTCTGAGGATTTAGTTATCAGCCACTTCACACAAGATTCAGCGCAATATTCACATCTTTACCACTTGCTATTTGAGTAATAGTGTTCCAAAGTAGTAAATTATCTAATTCTTAAATCCAAACTGGTTTATGAGCAATTGGTAAGAATCATAAGTTTCCTCATGAAAAGAGTTCCAAAAAATCAAGAAGAGAATAACTAAAGACAAATTAGTACCAAAACCACACTAAATTCCAGCTAGTAAGCTCTTTGGCCCTTAATGACACGACAAAAGACAGCTTAAGGGCTCCATGCTAAAGTGAAACCCAACAAACCATTTTAAAGAGCTGAGCAGGAATGATCACTAATAGAAAATAAGTGACAGAGAGGTGCCAGTATTTAATCCTCAAATCTGAATATACAACATTTAAAAGAAAAAAATTTTTCTTTCCTTCTCTCTCAGCACCTGGGAAAAAGAAAGCCCTAAATTGAACCCTCTGCCTGACAGGTCTCAGTAACTCTCATCTGAGCATAATTCCTAACTGATTTAATCCCTTCAACTGTACTTTGGCATGACTTCCAAGCCATCAATCATAATTTCCTTCCAATTTAAAAAACACACACTAACACTTATTGACTGTCCAGTATATGTCAGGCACTATTATGTATATTGACATAAATATTACATACTGGCTCATTTAATTCTTACAGGTTAGTACCATTCCCATTTTATTGCAAAAAGACATGAAGAGGCTGAGAACTTTAT